AGAATAGAATAGAATAGAATAGAATAGAATAGAATAGAATAGAATAGAATAGAATAGAATAGAATAGAATAGAATTCTTTATTGGTCAAGTGTGGTTGGACGCACAAGGCATTTGTCTTATATTTTAAGCAAACCTCATGTTTCTAGACTTGTGTAATATCAATTTAACCAATGTGTTCTGCTACTGAGAGTTCTCCACTAATCCTGATCAGAATATGAGAATTGGAGAATGCATGTTATTTCCAAGTAGGCCCACTATGCATAAGTGATCTACTTTCAGTGCCTCAAAGCTCCACCTAATTAACAGATCTAAGGACCAAACATCACATACTTTGGTATTTAGTATTTAAGATAAAAATAATTTTGACCCAAAATTGCTGCAATAGATCATTCTGCTGGACTATGACATAAGGGAGACAGATTAACAGAATAAATTATTGTAGTCACAAGATACACAATTATCAAAGGACACCAATACTATTTACTAGTTTATCCCTCCTACGTACACAGGGAAGTCAGCATTTTATCATCAATCTAGCTAGAACCTTTATAATTTCATAAAATATGCATACAGCAGGTCACCATGAGCTATAAGAAACATTGGATGAAAGTCTAATGTAAACTGTAATATTGCTATGCTATTGTACTGAAAAGCAATTGGACTAAAATGTGGTTATGGAAGTAGCAACTTCTAAAAAGAAAATTTTGTATGCATACCTTAATAATAATCTACCATCAAACCGTAATTTGTTAGAAAGCATATTTTCCGTCAGTGCTGACCTAGTCTTAATTCTGTAAGAAACAGATACAATATTATATATTATGTGAGTAAAACAAGTCGTTTTGCATGCCAACTGCTTGTAGAACAGACATGTTCTTGAATAGAGTTCAGTAGAATTATCATGAAAAGATACAGCAAAGACAAAACATAAATTCTGATTACTGCCACTACAAATAAACTTAAAATATTATCAGGTTTATATATTTCACCGGAACTATAGAATTATGTATATTTTCTCTGCTTATGAGTGTATGTATCTTCAAGAATCTGAAGCCTTTTAAGTCTTTCTAGCAGATATCAATGCTAAACAAAATCTTACTAATGATTCAAACTGTGTACTTCAGTACCATTAGCAGTAAAGTTGATTTTACTTATTTAATAAAATATCTGTGCGTATGCAACTGCACATAATAATTCATATTTTCAATAAAATAAAAGTGATGTTTTAATAAAATTATTCACAGCACTTAAAACATTCCTAGAACATTTTAGGAAATCTTAGTTCTCGGTTGCATGAACACACAGTTGAATGGACATAAGGGAGACTTTACACAAATATTATATGTAACATTAAATTATTATTCTAAGTATGCTAAGAAGTAAACACCATTCAGTATTGCCAAAAAAGAAACTGAAGGAATTTATTTATTTATTTATTTATTTATTTATTTATTTATTTACAATTATATCACTGTCTCATCTCAGTCAGTCTCAAACTCATGACTATAGGAAGCTAACAATAATTATTAAAACAGCAAAAAGCCAAAAAAAATCACTGAAACAAAAATATACAGTACATCTAATCTATAACTGAAGTAAAAACAATGCACCAACAAAAATCAACATAACCACTGTATGGACTGCATCATACATATGGATCACTAGACCCAGTGACAATATATATGAAACACTATCCCTGATTAGCTCATTTTGGGAGGAGAAATCACAAACCTTCAATAGAGATTCACAGAGAGCATATTAAATTTTAGATGGATTACAATTTTATAAAAACAGATATCAAAAAGATTGAACATAGCAGAGCAGCTGGAATTAATAATCTATTTAATTCTCATATACAGCTTCCAACCATGATTAATCTATTTCTAGCCATGTCTAATTAAATACTAATCGGAAGCACTATTCTGGACTTCTTCAGAACAATTGGTTTTTAAAAGCATGCTACTTTGATGTCACATGATTAATAGCGATTTGACAGTCTTGTCATCTATGAATGTATGTTAATTTGGAATCTAACACATCATGTGGCAGGTAATTTCATAGATGAACATCTGAAATATTCATGCTAAGTACAACATTTGACTCTGCAGATCACCCTTCATTCAGTGTGAGTGGATGATCCTAGACTCTAGTAGATTGGGAAACCACTACCTATTTAATTTCATCATAGTGCTTAATTTTTTAAACTTCTATTATGTCTTCCTTATTTTCTATTTTTAATTTTAAAAATGATTAAAATGCTCCAAAGTAACAGTAGATATCTTACAAATGGATTGCATAAAGGCATGAGCTACAAATAATGAAACTAATAATCATAGGCCTTCTTGGCTAGTGGGAGTAATAGTATTTTAATTTATTTTAATTTATTTCATGTCTACAAAATGGTGAGCAATACATTATAATTTAAACATATAGTGAAATGCAGGAAAATCTTAAAAAGATTCAAACCATTGTTAGATAAACATTTCTATTACAAAAAACAGATTTTATTTTTAAACTTATAGAGGTTCTCATTTACAGAGTATCAAGATATTTAGGTGCACAATCTGAAATTAAAAAATTCATAATAAAATAATTTTGAGGACATTATCCATAAAGCAATATAGTGTAACATATCTTACTTTGTTTCATGTAATGTTCTTTTTCTAAAGCGCAGAGGTGCTGTGCTTAATCCAGGGAGAACAGGATCCATCTTATAAATATCTGAATTTCCATTTTGCTCTGGATCACTTATCACAGCTCTAAAAAAAAATACAGAACTGGTTCTATCAAATTAATATATAAACCTATTTAGTGCTTTATTTCAAGTTTTTTAAATTATTAATATTTACATGTTAACTAAGTGTTGTACAATCAGAGAAATATCAATAAAATTACCAATACTTTTCATGTAACATAAAAGTGCTTAAATTGTCCTATATACATTGCAACTTTTCTAAATTGTACTGATAGGAGTATAAATGCACTGTACATTATCCTCTTTGATAGCAATAAATACCCAAGTATTATGAATGTTACATATTGATATAAATTGTTATCTGTCTCATAAAAACTAATGTTAAAGTTCATAAAAACATTGAAGTGACAGATACTACAAGTTATTTGCAAAGATTTGCTTCTGATACAGTAAACGCAGGAATCCAATACACTATGCGATGCTAATGTATGGGATCGCTCATACATTATGATTGTCCAAAATGTGAAGTATACATATTTTAATACTAAAGCAGTCCCTTCACTTGGTCTCTTGACCTCATCCATCTGGGTCTCACTTGAGCCAGCCTAGAGTAGTTGTCTGGCAGATTCAGAGAGTAGTGAAGCATAAGGTAGCACCCAACTGATCTTCCCACTCCTTATCTGTCTCTGGATCCAAGCATTTGACAACTACAAATAGCTTCTGGACAACGGATGATGGTAGTGGCATATTTTTTTTTATTATTATTATTATTTTGTCAAGCGATTATAAGATAACAGGTATAAGTATAAACATAGTTATGAATACATGAAATGGATACATAAAGAAAAAAAACAGTAGGACAGGGACACATTGGTGCGCTTATGCATGCCCCCTACAGACCTCTTAGGAAAGGGGTGAGGACAATAGTAGACAGTCTAAGGTTAAAGTTTTTGGGGTTTGGGGAAGAAACCACAGAGTCAGGTAGAGTATTCCAGACATTGACCACTCTGTTGCTGAAGTCGTATTTCCTGCAATCAAGTTTGGTGCGGTTTACTTTGAGTTTGTATTATTGTGTGCTCTTGTATTGTTATGGCTGAAGCTGAAGTATTCATTGACAAGTAGGACATTGCAATATATAATTTTATGTACTATACTTAGATCGGACCGAAGGCAGCATAGTTTCTAGGTTGTCTCGGTCTAAAATTTCAAGTCTGGTGGCATAAGGTATTCTGCAACGTGTAGAGGAGTAAAGAATTCTTCTTGTGAAATATTTCTGGACTTTCTCAACTGTGTTAATATCAGATACATAATGTGGGTTCCAGACCGATGAGCTGTATTCAAGTGTTGGTCTAGCAAATGTTTTGTATGTTCTAGTTAGTAGTGTGATATTACCAGAGAAAAAGCTATGCAGGATTAGGTTAACAACTCTTTATGCCTTTTTGGCTATGTAGTTACAGTGGGCTCTAGCACTTAGATCATTAGAGAGGTCTAATGATCCAAGGTCCAAGGTCCTTGACAGAGTTTGGATCATCAACAAGGTCTTGACTATTCATTGTGTATTTTATTTTTTGATTTTTTTGCCAATATGTAAGACAGAGCATTTATTTGTTGAGATTTGAAGTTGCCATTTGTTTGACCATTCTGATACATAGTCAAGGTCTTTTTGAAGGGTAGCAGTATTGTTGGTGGTGTTGAATAGCTTAACATCATCAGCAAAAAGAATGCAGTTGCTCTTAATATGATCACAGAGGCCATTAATGTAGAGTATGAAGAGAGTTTTTATATATATACATGCAGCTATAGATGTTCTTGGATAACACCATTAGCTCTTCAATCTGGGTACAGGCATGGTTTGGAGAAAGAATCATTCTGACAAATAACTCTCATTAAAAAAAACAAAAAGACAAAAAAGTGTGATACTTTTGACCCTGATGGATTTCTCAATGGCTCATTATATCCTTCACAACATTCCTATGGATTTTCAATTGGGTCACAGAGAATTATATTGGGTGTTATATCTCTAAAGCTATGCTGGTTCTTCGCCCAAGATTGGGACAAAATGAGGTTAAATAACCAGGAATGATTTTTTTTGGCTGCACCAGACAAGGATGGTTGAAGCATGATTTTATCATTTCTATTACTGTAGTTTTTAATTGTTGATGTGAGCCACTTAACAATTTTTTCAAGTCTTTTAAATAAATCAACAAATAAACTAGTCACACAATTAACAATATGGCATGTAGTAAGCAGAATAATGGAATAACAGAGTTGGAAGGGACCTTGGAGGTTTTCTAATCCAACCCCCTGCTCAGGCAGGAAACCCTAAAGCATTCCAGACAAATGGTTGTGATGTGCATCCTACATACTTTAGTTAACAGCCTAGAAAAAAGTCCATCTATTTCCTCTGTTTGGTTGAGTGGCCTGTTGTATACACCTATGGCAATGTCATTTTCCCCCAATATGCCTTCAAGACAGTTTTCAACATTGTTGTACTCTATTTCTGTAGATATATAGTTATTATTTATATATAATGGAACTCCACCTCCTCTTTTATTTGGTCTGTTTCTTTTAAATAATTTAAATCCCTCTAGCTTTCTATTTCATTTGTGGGTTTCATCCCACCAAGTTTCCATAATGGCAACAGTAAGCAATACTGTTGCCTTTTAATTCCCCTTTATAACCAATTATCTCACTTCCCCAAACAGGTCTCATATTCACTGATCCACTGGATCCACCACATCCAACTTTGATGTTCAGAGAAGTATAAAGTAAATAAATCAGGATACAACAGATGACTTGTGGGAGGATGGGGTGAAACAGAACAAATCTTCCCAACATATTTAACATATTTTTGCTCCCCCCGCCCCATCTGTTTGTTGCTCAGCTACTGTGATATTTCTTGTGTGTGGAAGCACGCACTTCTGCTCTTAAAAAACTGGGTTCACATATTGTATGAAATAACAATGTCATTTGTTTTTTTGACTCTGTATATCAACTAATTTCAAGTAATCCACTGTGGTTTGTAAACAATGGTTTATGGGCTAGCAGTGGTCATTTTATTTGCTGTAAATCTCTGCATAAACATCCAATATTTTTCCCAGCAAATCAACTATATATGTGAAGATGATCAGAAGCAACCATAATATTATGAAAAAGGGGGGCTACTTTAATGATTCAACAATACAGCTTTGTATGTATTTCTGCTTGTTGGGAATCATCTTTTTCAAAGGAAATACTTAGCCCTGCCATATAAATAGCACTTTTCTAGCTAATTAATTAGCATTTTATTATCTTACCTACACAATTGATCTAACATCACTTGTTCTACCACAGCTTGTTTTTTTCTTTCTGCTGCTACTTCTTCCTGCAAAGTAACCATTGAACAGAATAAAAGTATTGTTTAAAATTTTAAATATTTCAACAGTATTGCTACAAGTGTAATAAACCATAGAATTTAGCGCTCTTAACAAGAAGCAGTGAGCACTGTTGTTTTAAAAATAAAACAGACATAAAATACTACCTTGTTATAAGGTTTTACAAATAATTAATGCAGAATTTTAATCTATGAAAAAAACCATCATTTTATTGAACCGGGTTTAAGAGCAGGTTTCATCAAAAAGAAATTCTAAAAATAGTATTACATTTGTTTCAAATTGGAGTCAGACATAATTATTTATCCTAAACTGTAACTATAGTAAAATTTACTTATTGTGTAGTTGTTAAAAAGTTGTATCAGGAAACTCATGTTCTAGTCTACCCACATACACAGAACCAGTGGTGGGATTCAGTCAGTTCAGGCGAACTGGTTGTTAAATTACACAAACACACACACACGCTATCAAAGTGGATCCTGGCCGCTGCACTGCACTGCGATGGAGAAATGGGCAACGGAGCTGCCAGCTCAAGGGAAGGAGAAGACCGCTTTCCCTCTTTCTTCTCCCTGATCTTCCTTCTTCCCTCGTGCCCACAACTCCGTTTCCCATTTCTCCATTGCAGCGCAGTGCTCAGGATCCACTTTGATAGTGTAGGGGGGAAAGTAATTTAACAACCGGTTCACCCAGGGTCAGGTTGGCCATCATGGGAGGCTCATCCCACATGTGTGGCGGAGCTGGAGGACGGGGATGGGCCATGCCTCCCGTGACAGCCAACCTGACCCTGGGTGAATTGGTTGTTAATCCCATCACTGCACAGAACCCTCTAGAGGACTTTGAGAGTAATTTTCTCTGAAAACCACCTTACGAAGCTTTTTGAAGAGCAATAAGACATAGCATTATGCACACTGCCTTGCTTTCCTAAATGAAAGGAGAAAACTAAATCTAATAAATAAACAAAATTTTCTTAGTGTCAATTCAGTCATCAACCCATGCATGAACATGAACATGCTGACATGAAACTGGTTCTATGCTATCTTGATACAAATTAAACTCAGAGTTTCAAGTTGTTTAAGTAATCTTTTATTTAAATTCTTAATGGAAAATAAAAATAGTAAGGACTGAAAATAGTTTCAACAGCAGTACAATTTATTTTTTTATTTATTTGTACCTCACATTTATTATTTTTAAAATAACTCAAGGAGGCAAATATCCAATATATCTTCCTCTTCCTAATTTCCCTACAACAATCCTCAGGTGGGTGGGTGAGTGAGACAGTGACTGGCCCAAAGTCACCCACCTAGCTTTCATGGTTAAAATGGGACTAAAACTCACAATATTCCATTTTCTAGCCTGGTGCGTTAAACAGTAGACCAAATTGGCTTCATTTCATCTGTGCACAATAAAAAATCATCTATGTACTTAAGCTAGAAGGGCACTATACCAAGATATATTGGGTTGATCTTACTTATTTACATTGCTTAACTATAACTATATATGCTAATTTTTTAGCACTTTATCCTATTAAACTTACAACATCGAATTTTCTTATGCTATGCTGCATAGTATATGGGTTGTTTGTATAACCTTGCTGTAAAAGGGCTTTCTCATCAAGAATTGTGAATTCATCCACTCTTTGTTTTTCTGGCTGTAAATCCTATATGGGAACAAAACATAATATTTGGATGAAATTGGTGATTCCAGTGACTGTTATCACTACAATTTATTTCATTTTAATTCCTTGCTGCTAAAATGTGCACAGGAAATAACCTATACATATTTCCTATATCTAACTTCTCTTGAATTTTTGAGAATCCAAAAGAATATAAATACTGAGGCATTTATAAATCTTGTATACAGCAGCTGTTTCTACTGAAATAAATAAAAACCCATTATGCAAAACATGTTAACATTATCTATGACTTTAAAGGAATTTCTGAATATTCACATATCTGAGAAATTACTATAACCACATGGAATCAGCGTAACACACAAGCCAACTAAAGCTCTTCAAAACATCCCAAGCAAATCAAAAGACCCAGTAGCCCCAGAAGAAATAACAGGAGTCATCTACAATATACAGTGTAATGAATGCAACAACCGCTATGTAAAATAAATAGGCAGAAAACTGGCAGAACACATCCATGAACACCAACTAGCAGTCAGAAGATGTGCTGAAAACTTTTTAATTTCACAAGATGTCGACAGGCTTAACCACAGTTCCAAATGGAAAACTATAACCATCCTAGACCAAGCCTAGTCCTTATCAGTGCAAATTCACAAATCATCAAGGGCAAAAATAAAAATAGCAAATTAACTAGGCAACTATATCCAAATTAAAATGCAAAGAAATGGAACATGATGGAACTATAAAACGAAGAGGGAAATACAATGAGCTTCAAAGGGGAAAAATGTAGTTGATGTTGGGAAAAGAAGAATTTTGGAGAAAAAAGACAACTCCTACATTATTAGTCCATAACAAAAACCTTATGCACTACATTTGCTTTAGTGAAGCTAAGCTCCCTTCAATATTTTAGATTGAGTTGTTATGCTGGGATAATATATGGATGTTACCTTTTTTTCAGCTATCTTGCCTGGAAGTTCATGAAACAGGTTATTATTTGTTTTCTTTTTTGCAGCTCTCTGAGAATACTGCTTATAACCCTCTTTCATTTCTGTTTCATATTGCTGATATTTCAGCTTGTATATGTCTGTCGGGAGTGGCAGATTTTCTGGTATTGTTTTTTGCTCCTTTGAAGAAAGCTGCAAATAAATAATCAGAACAGTAATAATGGTATAGTATCTGAATCAATTAAACATAACATTTAAATATTTATCAATTGTCCAACTTAAGATTGTTCAGATTTGCAGAGATGCTAGATGTAACTGCAAATCTAAAGCAAAAAAATGGAAAATGGAAAGTTACATTTTTTACTAATAGGATTTGTTTCAGAGTAGTAGAACAAATATACACATATCATCACCATCATTGCAAAAGAAGTTCATATTTGTTATTTAAAAGTGTGATTCATTTACTTCTTAAATTATTTACCTCAATTTTCTTTAGATCAGGTCTCCTTGCTGCCTATACAATAAAAAGGGAAGAAAATACATATTTATAGTTCTCCTTTAAAAGTTCATTATTTAAACTAATTAACAAAATGTGATATGTTTTATTAATGAAGAACAAAATCAGTATATCTTAATACCAGAATTAGCAACATTAATTAGAAATCCTATATTTGTATTTAAAAGTAAGCGCTATTATACAAGGAAAAGTATTTCTAGGTAAGAATAACAGACCTATAGGAGAAAATACAATTCTAACATGCTGGCTGTGATAAAGAACTAAGCAGGTATTTATTTATTTATTGAATTTATATTTCCGCTGATTCACCCATGGCAACTCAGCAGCAAGATTTCTATTTTTAAATTCTGGTATCAAAATCTAGTAATCTAGGGGAAGGAAATTGTGGACCATTTTCACTGTGTCTGTTCACCCAGATATTTTATCATAATAAATGGGTCTTTCAAATAATGGCCTCTATTAACCATGCTTATAAGAGGCTTGATACTTTTTATGGCAGATGGAGTTTTAAAATAAGATTCTGAAAGTGAATATAATACATCCATAGCGTAAATAAAACTCCATACTGGATCAAGACCAGGATGGGACATATATAAAACAATAACTATGATCCCACTATCCAAAATATTATTTAAAAAACAAGGTGTTTTTTTTAATCAGTACCTTTCAGTTATTTTTAACAAAAATCCAAAGAATGGTAACTGGTATTTCAAAATGAGCAAATTAGATACTCCAATACACAAAATGCTTATGTAACTGTCATTATGACTCAGAAATTTGAAGCCTAAGAACACCAACTAGAGCACAAATTGAATCCATCCTATTTATCTTAAGGTCATGACAAATCCCACAGCTGCAATGGAATCAATCTCTTTTTTTTCTCACAATATTTTCTAATTTTTACTATCTTATCTATTTAGGAATTCTGAAGAAATGAAAACTTATGCATTATTATGTGATTACGTAAGTTTTTCCTTTAAAAAAATGCTAAGAATTTTAACTACACAGATTCAGTGTAGTTGTGTTATACACATTTACATGAAATTTGTTTCTGGAAGTGTTATGCTTGAAAATAAATCCATCCATAATCCAACTTACCTGTTCTATGTTATGATATTGAGGGTGAGTATTTTGTAATTGAGTGTCCCTCCTAAAAGATGAAGATATATGTGGAGGGCCAGTGTGAGGTCGTCCAGCATTGTAAAGTGATCCATTATCTCCATCCTAAAACATAAGAAAGCATTTATTTAACTGTAATCAAATAAACTGGACTTTCTTAGTTTTTCTTTAAAATGTTTTGCTTCTCATCCAATAAGCTTCTTCAGTTCTGAAGATTCTTGGATGAGAAGCAAAACATTTCCAAGAAGAAAACTAAAAAAATTCAATTGCCTTTTGAAAAGCACCTTTGGGACAACTGTGACATGGACGACTGAGAATCTCCACAGACATGTAATTGAATAAACTTGTCTAAAACATTTAGAAAGTTCAGATTGAGATGACAGAAATACATCCTAGTAACCCAGCACCAGTACAAATAAGCAAATGACTTAAGGAATTTCCTTGCTCAGATTTGCTACTCATCAGTATTATTTTTATGTGTAAAGAATTTAATAATAAATCAGACATTTATAATAGATACCAGGTAATTGTATCTAATTAACTCTGAAATTAAAGAATTGTTTAGTTTTATTGTATTATTGTTTATTGTAATCCAATAGACATTTAACAACCACATTACTAACTGAATAACTGCAGCGATTCATTTAACAATTGTGGCAAGAAAAGTCATAACATGAGCAAAACTCACTTAACTAATGTCTCATTTAAGCAACAGAAATGTTAAGCTCAATTGTGGTCATAAGTTGAGGAATACTTGTATAAAGAATATCCTAGCAATGATCGGAAAATTTAAACAAATAATAATAATAATGTATTAAATTTATATGCTGCCTGTTGTGGCCCACATAAGTTGAGTTTTGTAATACTTGAACGGTGGGTTTTGTAGTACTGATGCACTGCCAAACTAACATGGCTTTACCTTCTTTAATTTAGTTTACATTTTCAGCATAACTTTGTAAGAATGGAATGCTGAAGTTTTCCCTTAGCATGCTTAACTTGCTGTAACTAACTGCAAAATAAGAACTTTCTCAGGCTAAATAACAAAAGGATTTTTTTTCAACTGAGCATGTTAAGAAGTTTCACTTAGCTGAAATTATATTTTTTTCACAATGGATTCTATGGGACTCATGATGTGTTTTCCCATGCTAACATTTTACTTTTTTAATACTTTAATACAATGTTCTTTTCTATTGCTATGCTCACATATTACTGTATGCTTTAATTTTTATGATGTAACTGGACAGGTGATTATTTCTAAACCAATCAACTTTTAATTTTATTTTACAAGTTCTTTGTTGTGCTATAAACTATAAAAAGTAAATATAAACCATTTTTCAAGGTCCTCCCTTTCAAAAGTTCAGTTTACTTTATTTTCATTGCACCTCATACAACAAAATCAAATGCCATCTTCAGTGTACATCATACATAAGAAAACTATAAAAATAAAAAAAAACACACATCCTTCACATTCTATACAATTGAATTGAAAACCCCTGATACTGCATTGGTAGTACACTATACAGTAGAATTCAATATAGTTACTGCTTTGGGATAGAAGCTGTTTTTCAGCCTATTTGTCCTTGTTTTTATTGTCCTGTACCATCTGCCAAATGGTAGTAGTTCAAAAAAAGGGTGCCCAGAATGAAATGGATCTTTAAGAATGTTTTGAACTTTCTTATGGCAGTGGGAACTATAAAGCTCTTCCAAAGAGGGGAGAGGCAACCAATGATCCTCTGGGCAATGATGTTAACCTTCTGGAGTGCTGTCCTATCTGCCACTGTGCAATTGGCAAACCATACACAGGTGCAGTTAGTTAAAATACTCTCTATGCTGCAGCGGTAGAAGGTCACCAGCAATTTTTCATTCAGTTGTTTCCTGAGAAATCTGTTAGTATAATCTCTGTTGGGCCCTTTTGACTAGTGATACAATGTGAGTGCTCCAGGTCAGGTCCTCTTTTATGATAAACTTAAAAAAAAACTTAAAACTGACCACTTTTTCCACTTGGTCTCCATTGATAACCAAGGACCGGATGTCTGACCTATTCCTTCTGTAGTCCACTATAAATTCCTTGGTCTTATTGGTATTAAGGAGCAAGTTTTTGTCTCTACACCATGAAAGCAACCAGTCCACCTCATCTCGATAGGCAGACTCATCCCCCTGGAGATGAGTCCCACCACTGTTGTATCATCTGCAAATTTAATAATAGTACTACTGGTGTGAGTGGGAATGCAGTCATGTACATAAAGAGTTTAGAGTAAGGGACTCAACACACAACCCTGTAGTATATCAGTGTTAAGAATAAGGGCTGAGGAGGTATGATTACCTAATCGGACCCTCTGAGAGCGGCCAGACAGGAAATCCATAATCCAAAGGCAGATTGAATCATACTAATTGAATCATACTAATCTATGTGGAAGAGTTGTGTTAAATGCAGAACTAAAATCTACAACAAGCATCCTCACATAGTCCTCCCACCCTCACTGTTCCATATGAGTCAGAGCAATGTGAAGAAGGATGGCTATAGTGTCCTCTGTAGATCTATTTGTTCTGTATGCAAACTGGTGTTCGCATACATAGGGAGACCCCTCTTTATCAGACAAATCTAAAACTTTAAAATCATCCTCTGACTTGGTTGCTTATTATAGAAAGTAAGCCAAGGTAGAACCCACAGCCAGATTTGGCCATTACTATGAAATTAGGGTGAGAACAAGCAGCCATGGTAGTACAATTGCCAATTTGGCCTAAATTAAGCCTTATTATATTTAGCAATTTTCCCCATACTCTGGATAAATCTAATCTTAATATCCAAATTGCTGACAGCTGCTTTTGTTCTCAGAATGCATAGTACTTAGTACACACTTATCTGGACTTTTGTAAGTTAATAATAAGATGATTAAAAAATGAGTTTTTCATTTATTAAATGGCTAACTGAAAAATATAGCTGCAGATAAACTTCTTTTAAAAAGTTGATATAAATCCAGAAAAATTAGCAAATGAACAGGAAATAATAGCTAAGGTAGACCATGAGAACTGGTTTCATTTCTGTTCCAGTATTTGTATTCTAACAACTGTCATATTTAGTATTTGCATATTTTTAATAATTTCCAAAAAAAAAAAAAACCAAATAGCTATTACCTCATCTTCTGAATCTCCCAACTTTCCCAAGTCAAGACATGGCACCCTACAGAGAATTAGAAATTTAAAATTATACCGTGTTTCTCATATAATAAGGCTGGGTCTTAATTTTTTTTGAGCCCCGAAAAAATGGCTAGGCCATCTTTTCGGGGGTGACTTAATTTCCCCCCCCCCCTTGCATCTTTGGGCGGGCGGCAATGGCTTGGATGTTGACTTCAGCATTGGTGGGGCACTTTGTATCGGGGTCAATGCAGGCAGCACCATATCCGGGTGTGCAACAAAAGTACTTCCTAACGGCAAGCCCCCCCACCATTCCCCCCCATTTCGCATGTTTTAATATAGGCCTTAATTTGGGGGAAGGAGCTTAATTTCATTTCATGCCTATAAAACATGCTGGGACTTCCTATTGGGGGAGGCCATATTGTTGGAGAAACAGGGTAATACTTCTCTGATGTTTAGATGTCACACATCTTTTTCCTTTAGAGTAAGGTTGCTGATTTTTAAAAATAAATTAAAGAAAAAAAGCAGACCACTTTTTTTTCAAGGAAGCAAATAAAGAGAGTATTTGACATTTTAAAAAAAAATCAGCAAGTCAACACATTTAAAAATGTATCACAAAATTTTATTATTATTAAAAATTTTGCTGCCCATCTCACTATAGGGCTAATTTACAACAATAAAAAATGAAGAAATAAAAAGGAAATTTAAACAAAGCAAAAGTAAAATAAAGAGAACAATAAAATAAACCAAGAAAAAGAAAACCAAAAAATACATCAATATGACTAGCTAAAAGTAGGTGCTTTAAGTTACCAGAAGAAAGATGAGATATAAAAGTAAAAATATATTTGAGGAATTCTAATATTACACTTTTACTTCTCAATTGTATCTAGACAACCACAGAACTCCATGCAAACAGAAGCAAAGAAATGCCAATTTTTGCCAATATCCCTTTGAAATTTGCTACTTCAAATTAATATTAGCAAATGAACAATGTGACATTAGTTAAAAATACTGAAATTTCAGGGTCTCCTTGAATATTTTAAAAACACAGAAATTCCAGCCAATGAAACCTTTAATGAAACTATACAATTTCTGAATCTGACACTACCACTTACCATTCAGCAAGTTTAATTCCATCACTGAAATATTTGACAAGATTTAGAACATCATTCCCCCCAGATATTAGAACAGCCCCCACTCTAGAACTTTTTTGGAAGGCGCTAAAGACCTGGTTCTGCCAGCGGGCCTGGGGAATCCAGAGCAGGATGGAGCCCATTATATGGCTTGTGTGATCTGCTGTTGCCGGGGCAGATGGTTGGGAGTTGGGGGAGGATTTTGTTATATTGTACTATATTAATTCATTTGATACTTTTTGTTAGTTTTTATTGTTTTAAATATGGTTTTATATTCTGTAAGCCACCTTGAGTCTCCGTGGGTGAATAGGCGGCAATATAAAGTAATTAATTAATTAATTAATTAATTTTATATATATATATATATATATATATATATATATATATATATAAATAAATATGATTTGATATCAGAACATAGGACATCTCTTTCTTTGCACTATTATCCCTTCTCAGATGTCTGCCAAACAAAAAAGTGACATTCCTAGATCAGCAACATTTTAAGGAAAAAAAATATTTCTTCAACTGTTTGATTTGCTTCATATTAGTATTCTATTATATTATCATATTTGCATGTACATTTTTTAAAAGGAAATACTTACTCCGCTGGTCGTGGACCATGGCTTAATCTGGTGTTTGGCCTCCAACCCTGAAAAAAAGAATATAAAGCTTTTGTTTATTTCTTTGTTTGTTTTTATGTTCCTCCATATTCAATGAAACTGTGAACATAAATAAGAATCAATTATTAAAAGAAACAAAGAAATACAATAAGAATATTGAATTTACTATAGAATAGTTTAATTCAGGAGAAATCCAAAGGAATGGAAGCTAGGATTTTAAAAGAGTTTTGGTCAGTTCAGTGGTACTTTATGGAGTAACAAGAAAGTTATTGAAAGTTTATTTCAAACATTTACATAACCACGCATCTTACACCAAACTCTGATGGATTCTTCTTTTAACACAGCTAAATAAAAATTAAGATTATTTAATTTTGTTCTGAAGTATGGTATCCAGAGCCCTAACAGATAACCTTCCTCCTCCTTTTACTATTTCATGGTATTTTCTTATATATTGGATTGGAGATAATATATAATATTATAATATATATATTTCTTTCAAATTATTTGGGGAGAAAACTTATCAACTTGCCCTTTCAAGCAGATACAGGTACATTAGCTTGTTATTTGAAAGAGTAAATTAATGCAGAAAATTACTTACAGAAGATGCTCTATTTTCCTGTTCTAATCAGAAAGCTTAAAAACCGAAATTGTTTCTTACATAATCGGTTGAAACATCACTAGGGCCATTTCACAAAAAAATAACACTTGTTTAATGAAACACTAGCTTTCCTATAACAGAAGTAAGAAATAGACAGCAAGACAGAAATTACAACTAAATTACTGCAGATTATATTATATAAACTATATAGATTATATAAACTATAACTGGTATACCCTAAGGATGCAGATACATTACAACAAAACAGTACCTATTGGAAAATAATGATAGTTTTATATATATAAAAGAAACAGAGTACTTGTAAAAATGGAGAAATGCAATTATACATCTAAACCAGCAACACGCAATGTTGGGAATATGAATCTTTTTTGCTTTTACTTTGCAAATATCTTTTATTTTCTCCATTTTCCTAACATTTAACTAGAAGAACAGATCTATGATGTGCTCTTCAAAAAGATGTCTAAAACCACTCCATGTCTGTTTTTTCTGAAATATTACTCAACATTTCCTATTAAAAAATTACACATTATGCCTCTAGCTAAACAAAAATAATCTCTAAATTATTTTATTTAGAAAACACATGTAGCTGCCCATCTTATGCACCATAACTCTGGCTGGCCTATAAACAACAAAAACAACAACAAAACATTCTAAAATAAACCTATCATGGAAACTTCCGGGGCCCAAATAATATACTCTTCCACACATCAACTATCAACTTCACTGGGATTCACCCAGTGGTGGGATTCAATTTTCTTTAGTACCAGTTCTGTGGGCGTGGCATGGCTTGGTGGGCGTGGCATGGCTTGGTGGGCGTGGCATGGCTTGGTGGGCGTGGCATGGCTTGGTGGCATGGCTTGGTGGGCGTGGCATGGCTTGGTGGGTGTGGCAGGGGATGGATACTATAACATCTCCATTCCCTCCCTACTCCTCAGGGAAGGTTACCACCGGTTCTCCGAACTACTCAAAATTTCCGCTACCGGTTCTCCAGAACTGGTCAGAACCTGCTGAATTCCACTTCTGACTTCACCCTCATTCTACCCCAAATCTTGAGCTCTTCAAAACCTCCTGAAGGGCTGAGAGGGGTTCTTGCCAGATCTCAGTGGGAAGGTATTCCAAAGAGCAGGGTCTGTTACAGAAAAGGTATGCTTCCTAGATCTCACTAAATGGAAACATTTAAGGGAAGGAACCTGGAGTATCCCCACTCTACCTAACCTGATTAAATGAGCAGATACTATAAGTCACAGAATTTAGGCAGGGTTGCTAAACTACAGGGGGGAAGATAAGCAAGCAGGAGTCCCAATTGATCCCTTGGCCCAATCTCACAAAGTCTCATATCTGGCTATATCCGAAGCAGCACTCCTAGTCACTCTACCAGCCCTACCTCAGTGCCATGCTCCAAATCAGGAGGACACACTTTGTTTAATTAGAGAGGGAACTCTCACAAACATATACATACAAAACCAGGATTCAATTATGTACAGCCTTGTTTCTCTAGTTAATAGATGCATATACATCACAAGGTACAGTGATTTTGTGGTGTGTGTGTGTGTGTCTTTTTCAAAATGAACATTCATTTTTCAATTTTATAAAGTTAATTTTAAATGTACCTGAGAGGATAGTAGAACTTGTCTTTTTGGAGATGCAGCAATTCCTTTAACCTCCAAGTCCATCTGAACTGTTTATAACTTAAAATAGAACTGAAAAGTAAAATTATAAAGTTACTGGAGTTACTGGACCAGATGCTCTAAGAATGGTTTTGACAAAATAAAAGTGATATTTCTTTCACTTTAAATATATTTTCTACTGAACTGAAATTCTGTTCAAAAGCATTGAGCCTAATTTATTACAACAAACAGTTTCAATGCATATCATTTTCCAATCCCATCAGCAGAATACAGTAGTTTAAACCAATGGCCCTAAAGACATATATTTCTTAATACATAAACCAAAGATTAACTAATTAAGAAATAATAGTACAAGGTTTTGCTCTTAAAGCCATACAATAAAACACTTATAGGTACAATATCTACAGACTGACAATTTAACTAGAGGTGGATGATCCATTAGAATTCATACTAATTCAAATATCAATTCAATTTACAGTATCTGGAGCCACTATATGGTATTAGAGAAAGATGTGGCTGTTTTAAAGAAAACCAGGCAAATGCTGTGTTCACATCTAGGTATGTTGGAAACTCCTCTTTAAAGATTATAGACTTAATAAGCAATAATATTAATATTTTTACCTAAGCAGATATGTGTGTGGATGATAGGAAAAGGTACTATAGAGAACAATTCAAAAATACTGTAGTTTTCCCCAGATTCATTTTGCAGTGTGCAAGTTTCAAAAGAGGCACAGGCAGAACTGATCAGCTGTCTGCAGAGAGGAGGCATAGAAGAGGCAGTTTGGTGTAATGGTTTAAGGTGCTGGCCTATAAACCAGAAGACTGGGTGATTTTGATCCAGTCACTCTCTCTCTCTCTCAGTCACTCACCTCACAGAGTTGTTGTGGGGAAAATAGGAGGGGGAAGAAATATGTTCTCTGCCTTGAATTATTTAAAAATAATTAATATCCTACTTGCACGAAAACTTCAAATCGGAAGCTGGGCAGCAAGAAGAAAGCAGTAAGTTCTAGCCCTTAGAAGACCTGCTGAAAGTATTCATATTTTATCAGTCAAAATAGAGCAAAACAGAAACCTGTTGTGTTGAGAACTGGCTAGGAAATCAACTTTACTTCCTAGCGAACTAAGCAAATCTGAGGCTTTCGCGGATAGTGACAAAGCTCGATTTTCCTGCACCAGCTCAATACCTATCAGACAAAATGCCCTGCACGCCGAAAACACGCTCTGTGTTCAGAGACAGACGCTTCTTTCTTACATGAGTTGGCCCAGCTTGTTTCTGTAAAAATAACTCTTAACAGCCGTACAAAGTCAGAAGAGCGAAGGGCGAAATAGGCATCTCCAACTGTTTTCACCTTACAGTTAGAACAAGGCGTTGCAAGTCTTGTTTGTTTTGGGGGTTTTTAATGGCAGAATATTCGATCTGCGTCTCATTGCCCTTGCTGGGGGAGGCGCGCGCACTGCCATGGTTGCCAAGGTTCCCAATAAACAGGCCGAAACCCTTTCCTTTCCCCGGCGTCACGCTTTGAAAATTAAAAAGTGACATCGAAACTGGAAGAGAACGCGAATGACCGACGTTTCTCTTTTCCCACCTACGTTTTTCTCGCTCGGTCCCCGGCTCTCGCTCCTGCCGTCCTTTTTTCGAGGGTCTCTTTTAACGGAGAGTCTTCATAGCCGGGTTTTCCTTTTCCTGATTTCCATCTGGTTTTGTATTTAGGAAGAACCTGTTTGGTCCGGTGTAGGTTCTGCTTTCTTCCGCCTAACTGGGCTCCCGGTAATTTCGAAAATCATTAAAGGATTATTTATGCAAATCATGAGAATTATACTACACCGGTGTTTGTGAATCCGTGAGGATTCTGTTTTATGGGTTGGTTGGATCTTTTTTCGTAAACTGTTGTCTGGGACCTCAGTGTTGCAAATGAATAATTCTGAACAGACCCAGCTTCCTCATCCTTTCTCTATTTTTATGAATAATTTTATTAAAAGAAGATTGTACAAAGATTTTAACAACTACAGAAACATAGTAGAAATATAAAAATATTATAAAAGAAAATTAAAAGAATAACAAAAAACAAAGCATATAAAAGCAGCAAATTATCATCTACTTTGCAACAGTTAAACAGCAATTACCATTTTCACCCTCATATTGCTATCAGTTCCCTTCTTTCCATAAACAAACCTTTTAAACAAATCCTAAAATCAGTTCATTTTTATCCATTTTCAGCAAAGTTTATAAAAGTTTTCCAATGTTTTATATAGTTGTACTTCCTTTATTCATCCTTTACCCAGTTTTTCCAAAGGATAGTAAGCTCGTAATAAATGCCAAATATGCTGCAACAAATTCATATCATTTGTTCGTGATTGCATAAATCAAATTGAATTATATGGACTGTTGTAATTGAAAGCAATCCTCCACAACCTGAAGTTCTTTGTTTTAACTCCCAGAACCTATTAATTTACGACCAAATTGGTGTGAACTCTTAACTATATAGATGTCTCCATGACGACATTTGTACCTAACCTAATTTGTATCTAACCCATTCTTTAGTTCTTCAAATCTTCACTCATTGCCACTGTAACAGAATTCATTCACTTGACTGCTGGTCATCCTCTTCTCTTTCCACCTTTCCCAGCATTAGAGCTTCATTCAGAAAGCTAGGTTTTTATAGGTATCCAAAGTAAAATAATCTGAGCCTAGCTATTTGTTCATATTGCCCAAAAATCCTGACAGCTAAAGTCTATTCATTGGGAGATCATTCATACTGGAATGGGAGACCATTCATACTTGACTTACTATAGTTCTTAAACTTAGAAAGGCTGTAGAAAAGAAATAATCCATTCCAAATTGATACAAAATCATTGATATACAATATTTTGACTTGTCTACTTCATGCAACCCATAATTTGATTTATGCAATTAAAAAAGTTTATATACCACAGAATGGGTCTTGGTTATATTTATCATAATTTTAAAAAGCAGCTGGAAAGATACAACATATTTTTAAAGAACTATAATACTATCCTATCAATTTACTAGATATTACTAGCAAACTCTGTCAGATTTTATACTAGAAACTGTTGGGAGGGGAGAATATTTTAGCAATTGTATAGGCAGGCCTTAGATCTGGCCAATCCACTCTCATCTTAAAATTTTATTATCCAATAAAATATATGTTGCCAGTATTAACTTTCAATAAAGGACAAAAGATCTCCATTATTACCTAAAATTAAATGTTTCATAAGACAAACTCTTCTAACATTCTGGTAGCTATTGAATTTCCTGGCAATGGGCCACTGTTGACATATTGCTCTGTTATGGATATTCTCCAGAGTCACTACTGCCCTTATTTTATAAGCCCACCATGATAAAAGTTTAAGGAAAAAAATTCTGGACAAATTCAATGTCACAGAATTTCTACAAGGTGGGAAATTGCCCTGGTACCTCAATCAATTTATGAATATCAAAAAGTTTTATAGGGATTCAATTTGACACCTTAACATCAGCAATAAAAACCAGCTTTGAAAAAAGAATCTACCCTTGTAGAGTCTATGGTGATGTCCTGCTTTATGACTTCTACAGGAAATGCCAAAATACTCATAGCAACTATTCTCACGTTATTCTCAGAAAATAGATGGGTCATATCACTGCCCAGAGCCCCTCTTTGAGGGAGATGGGCAGAATGAATGAATGAATAAACAAATAAATAAATAAATAAACAAACAAACAAATAAACCATCAGTCAGTCAATCAGTCATCTATGAGGATTTTGGAACTTCAAAATTTGCATCAATAGCCTGCAAAAATCAGCAGAGTAAATGATAGCAAATCCCCTTACTAAATTAAGCATTATAGTAGAATCAGGATAATGTGGTTGGCAATTCATCATATAATTAGCTATCATAATGCATGCATTGTATTTAACTGCTCCATTTTATATTTTCATTACTAACCAGTTACAAATAAAATCTAAGGCTTATTGATATTTAATGAAAGGTAGGTAATTTGTCTCAAACATAAGTAGTTTGTCTCAAAGAAATAAACCTATTTCCACTGTTTCAAAAAAAAAAGAATATCAAAATTCATACTAAAGTTACACTGAAATGTAAAGTAACTAAAGTAATTAATACAGGTACATTCCATATTTGTTGCAAATAATTTCTGCAGAGCCATATAATACAAACTTACAATATCTTTTATGCCCATGCCCATACTTTAATAACTTTAAAAATGAAACTGTGTGATTATGATACTGGATAGAATTTTCAGTGCAGTATATGCAGAAATTATTTTATTCAGAATAAATAGGAAATGTTCATAAATATATCATTTTATTACATACACCAGTTATTGTGAATATATTTTACAATTTTAAAGTGTGTTGTATAGTATGTCCAATACAGTTCATTCATTCATTCCTAAAACGTCGTCTTAATCCAGTATCTAATTCTTTTATATCTTGATTGGTTACTTCTATCTTCTTTGCTTTCTCCATTGTGCTAAGTAAGTAGTCATGATCAAAATGCTGATACTTTTTTACACCATAAGATTCTTCCATATCTTCAAATAAGGCATCATGCTCACATTCTTCATAAATATCCTCATCTATTTTTACTTCCGGATGTTCGCTGAATGATTCTATCAGATTTTCAAGCTTCTCTTGGCATGTATGGTGGTTAATATCTTAATACACACAAGAGGAAATTGGAATACAACATTACAATTAGGTTACTGTTTTTGCAATTAAACCAATTTACTACCAGAAAATTAGAAACAAGATATTTTGTTTTCCTTACAATAGAGAGTGCATTAAAATAGTTTGATAGATCACCAGTTTTTATGATATCTATTAAACCATAAAGCAAGTTGTTGTTCTAAAAGCAAGTTAATAGGTCAGTTAAAAGGTCATATATAATATGGTAGATAGTGGGCAAGAAACAATAAGAACTCTGGCCTTGCTTGGAACTTTAGAATAGATCAAATGGAACAAGCCAATTCATATGCACAAACCTGCTTTTTAAAAAATCAAGATATCTAGTAGTAATTTATTAGAGAGTGTAAAATCCTCCAAAAGTACCTTGTGGTTTCATGGCCGATTTGTCTAATCCACTTTCTTTCATCAGTTTTCTAATGGACTCAAGTTGTTCCATAATTTCATCTTTTTGATCAGAAGCCAAAGTATTAATACTGAAAAGCCAAAAAAAGCTGTATCAGAATTAATCAGGACGGAAAATAATTATAATTCCATTAACTTAATATTGAATTCATTTGTATTATTGGTAAATTTAGATCAGCCACATTACCTATTTTACTTAAATGAAACTAAATTTCAAACGAAGATTACATTGCTCATTTCTAATCAACTCTACACAGTATAGGTGAAAACCAGCCTAATATAAAATTCATTATATTTCTGTTCACTGAATTAAAGCTATTCCAGGATCTTTTACATACAGTACTAAAACACAGTACTATATCCAAACCTGCTTAAACTTAAAATCTAATTCCTTTTTAAATGGAATTGTTGAATAATATCAGTATAGCCTTTTTAAAATTCCTTCAATTTGTCAGTCACTACATTATTTTAATTATATTAAAAAGCCATTGCTGCAAAAGTTCTAAAATACAAATCTGTAGTGATTTTGATAATGCAGAAACAGAATCCAGCTATATTTCCTTTAAAGAAGGCATAAGCAACTATAGATATCTTTACATACTTGTACTTCAAGACAAGTATGTAAAGATATCTAAAAAGGGACGCAGTGGCTCAATGATTAAGATGCTGAACTTGTCAATCAGAAAGGTTGGCAGTTTGGTGGTTCGAATCCCTAGCACCGCGTAATGGAGTGAACTCCCGTTATTTGTCCCAGCT